AAACTTACAGCCAACGCATACACCGTCTCCCTCCCCACGCAGCGCGTCGTCGTCTACGGCCCCTCCCTCCCCCCCTTCGACACCGTCACCGAGAAGATTGCAAAGACCGGCAAGGAGATTCTCTCAAAGGAGGAGATTGCGGCCGGCGCGCCGGTGCCGCCTGTGGCGTAGGCGCTCCCAGCGCGCCGCCCAGCGGCGAGCGACCCACGAGCGAGCCATGAGAACGCGCGAGAGCGCTTTGCGCCTGTTCTGCCGCGACGCTCTTCCCCCACCCCTTCCCTTCCCCACCCCTCCCGTACCCCCCGCACTGAGAGATGTATACATGCGTACAACAGATCACTCGGACTCGGCGCCTGCGCCAAGCCGCGCCGTCGCGCCCGCCCGCGGCGCCGCACTGCTCGTGTCATTACACCCGCAATCATACACATCGTTGAGCGTCAAGCAGTCAAACTCGGGCTTGTGCAGCCGCTCATTCACAAGGTTGTGCACCGAACACAACCACATCGACGCGGCCTTACGCGACGACGTCTGGCGTCAGCTTCATCCCCTCCCCCCCTCTCACCTGCGGCGGATACGTCTTGAGCATCTTCTGGAAGTGCTCGGCACACTCGCCGCACGGGTACAGCCGCGAGAAGAGGTAGAAGAAGGACTTGAGCGCTGCGCGGTCGTCTGGCGTGGGGTTCTGGAGTCAGCTCCCCTCCCTTCTCCACTCACCTCGGGATACCGCAACGTCATGAGATGCAGCACGCGCCACGCCGCGCGCCCAAGCTCGGCTCTGTGGTCAGCCAGCCCTGCTCCGCACCCACTTGGCCGTCGCGTTGCCGAGATGCGGCATAATCACCGCCCCGGAAACAACGTCCTGCGGGATGCTGTATGCCGGGCCCGCGGCGTCGGCGACGCCATCCTTGTCGCCATTGTCAGTCCCATCGTGTTCCTGACCCTCCGCTCCGTGCTCAGAATTGAGCACCTTGCCCGGCCACCCCCCACTCCCACTCCCACTCCCACTCCCACTCCCACTCCCACTCCCACTCCCACTCCCACTCCC